AGGGAATGGCAAGGGACACACTGACAAAGGAGATTAATCAGAACTGGCTTTGACAAGCACTGTGGCAATTGGACAATTAAAACACACGTTGGGAGGGGGAAGAAGAACGAACTGGAGATGAGGGTGGAGAAAACAGTGCAACAATGAATGAATGAATGAAAACCCAAAATCTCTGTAAATATTCATTAAAACTAATAAAATTTAAAAAAAAAAATAAAAATGATGAAAATAAAAAGCTTTAAAAAAATTAACAAGACGGGAGGTGGTGCCATGAATTGAATTAAGGTAGTTAGTGTTGGGAAGAAAACCGGAGGTTGGGGTGGCTTACAATTTAATTTTGAACATAAAATGTAAAACAAGAACGAGAGCTTAGTGACACACAAGGCTCTTAAGTTTCGATACATCCAATTCAAGATAGAAACGGAGTGTCCTTATGTTCCACCTGACCATTAGGTCAGTAGTACTGAGCAGTAAAGGACACACAGACTGGGCATCTTTAATCAATAAATTATAGGCGAAGCCATGCCTGTGGATAAACTCATTCAGGAAGTGTTAGATAGGCATTTGAGGGAGGCCTAGAAAAAAATGCAGGAACTGAATCCGTCAAATGGCTGGGCAGGGTCTCCTTTGACTTTTATGAGAGTTCTCCTGCGTAATGCACAAAGGATCTTGGTTTAAGAGTGCGCTGAGAATTATTCTTACTTCCAACGTTTGCAATTTCTTTTCCTGTGCATAAACATTAAGAAAGCAACTAGAGGGGGGAAAAAAAAAAAGAAAGAAAGAAAGCAACTAAGAATGAATATCTAGCTCAGTTAAGCCAAAGGGGGAGTGGGGGGAGGGAAGCAAATTAGAAAACCGCACCAAGCTTCGTAACTGTTGCTTTGCCATGGTAAATAATTATTAAGTACTTTTCTTTGTCACAAAAGAGCATTCAGATTGTTTCAATTGCTTTATTTATTCTACAGGATTTCAGCTTCAGGAATGCTCTAGCTGTTACTATGTACAGAAGTTCTGCTTGGGAGTTTTCAAAAGACAACAAAATGGCATCTTGAATACCCAGGAGGAATAGGAAAAGAGCAGAGAGATAATGGAAAGAGAGTAAATTTTTTCCTATTTGTTTCAATATTGTGATTTGCTTTTACATTTGCTTAATCTTTCATTTCTCAACTTCAGCTGTTAGAACAGAGTTTGGTTGAAACTTTGTAATAGAACTTCAGTACAGTGATGCAATAATTATTATTTTTTTAAGAATAAAGAGTAAAACTTTCAGAGACTTTCAATGGGTTACAAAAGAACTCAAGACATGGAGAAATAAATAAGAATGGCCACTGTACCTCTACGAGCACATTCAAGCCCAAGAAAGGGTTTTGAACACACATATAAATATGCAGGTAAAAGATACCTACTACACGTATGCTGTCACTGTCCCTAAAGTTATATCTGGATGCAAGGTTAGACAATCTCAGAGATAATCATTGCATTGAGAGTGAAACTAACCAAGCGGGTTTGTGTTACAGTTGTTATGTGTTTATTTCTGGCTTCATCAAAAACTCAATTCACTCACTGCTAAGAGACTGAACAGAGAAGCAAGTGCATCTAAGCACATGAAAAGGGGGACCAATGGCCAAGACAGCAGCAGTAGTGGGTACAATGAGTGCCCTTCACTGACTGAGTTTTATGAGAAAGTCAAGTGCCCATGTGAGTTTATACACTTAGCATCTTGTGTAGTACCAAGAATTCTCTTTATTAAATATCCATAAATTTATTACAAGAATATTTGTTCTACATTGCAAAAATCCCAGGCACACTGGTAAAAGCAGTAGTGGTGCTAGCAGTGATAACATCCCTAAAATCTCACTACCTGTTAATTTCCCCAAAATGCCTAAATCAGTACGCTACCTAAATTAAATTACATAAATTTGGAGATATATATATTTTTAAAAAACCACAAACTTAAGAGGGGGGAATACTTCTGATCTTTTTTTTAAAACCTCTTAAAATTTTTTCAACATCTTTGGTAAAAGGTAACATTTTAGAGCAATAATAATTGAGATGTAATACTTTTAAATGGCCCTTTTTTGGCCACCTTCTCAGCTGATATCAAGATGGGAATTTCAAGTGACCTCTGCCTTACTGGACGTCCCTACTGTGATGTAATTGCATGTCTATGTGTCTGTTCAGATGAACTTTTGTCCAAGCAGCTCTTAAAAAGATAGGGCTCATGTTATTTTTGTTGTTAGGTGCCATCAAGTCTACTTATGACTCACAGCAATTCTGTGAACAGCATATATGAAACTTGCCTAAGCTCGAGCCATCCTCTCTATGTTCAAAGTCACTGTTACAGTCACTGAGTCAATTCATCTCACTAAGGGTCTTCCTCTTTTTGACTGACTCTCAACCTTAATCAACATGTGTCTGTCCAAGGACTGTTCTCTCTTGAAAACACCCAGCGTGTGAGAGGCTGAGTTTCCCCATCCTTGTCTCTAAGGTATGCCCTGTTGCACTTTTTCGAGGAGATACTTGTTCCTTCTCTTGACAGCCCATAAATTATTAAGTTCTCATCTTCAACACCACAATTCAAAGGCATCAATTATTTTTCAGTCTTCTTTATTCGTTGTTCAACTATGCAATTTCAGGTGCATAAGAAGCAGTTGAAAAGGCCATGTCTTGGATCAGGTACATCTTAAGTCTTGAAACTGATGCCCTTCCTCTTCAGCACTTTGAAGAGACAGCAGATATTTTCCAACACAACATGGTTGGTTTTGTGTGTTTTGTTTTTTTTTTAATTGGAAAAACTAGAAATCCTGTCTTCACTCATTACCAAGGGAAACAGTGCTCCACCAAGCTGCAAGTTGCAGTAGTTAAGGATGCTATGAATATTGAATGATCTGGAAGCATC